CTTAGTAATGGTAGTAGTAGTAGTCGTCGTAGTAGTAGTAGCAGTAGCAGTAGTAGTCGTAGTAGCAGTAGCAGTAGTAGTCGTAGTGGTAGTAGTAGTAGCAGTAGCAGTAGCAGTAGTAGTAGTAGTAGTAGTAGTCGTAGTAGTAGTAGTAGTAGTAGTAGAAACAGTAGTAGTAGAAATAGTAGCAATACAAACAGTAGTAGTAGTTAGTAGTACTAGTAGTAGTCGTCGTCGTAGTAGTAGTGGTGGTAGTAGTAGTAGTAGTGGTAGTAGTAGTAGTAGTAGTAGTAGTTGTTGTTGTTGTTGTTGTTAATGCTGGCGTTGTCAGTCTTGCTTTGGCTGCTCCAAACCCATTGGAGACTTTCTCACGGGTCGTCTTTGATGGTTGCGTCTGTGGCCTGCAAGATCATCATCTCAACACAGGGTGAACTTTGATAAAGATTTAGTTGCAAGCGAAATTTGTTAAATGCAGATTTCGCGGCGCTAGAGGGGGATTAGGGGAGGGCGCATAACTGGGGGGGCGTCCAGTGAAATCGGATCCTGGCACGAAGTGTAACAAATGCGAACTGCGGCATGTCCATGTAGATCATGTGGACCCTTTCAGACCGTTTTTTGTTCTATTGCTTGCTTTCTGTCTTTCCTTCCTTCCTTCCTTCTTTTTCTTCTTCCCGATTATGATCTTTCTGGTTGTGTTTGCTCTTGACCTACATTGTTACATGTGTTTTGTCTTTGATCCCTGTTTGTTTTTGGGTCGGATCGGATGGTTCGGTGCGCAGTACGTTCTTTTACTGGCGCACGCAGGGTTTTGTGACTGCGTGCGAACCAGCTGATGGGAGGCGGGGAGTGTGGGTGGTTGTGCTGTCATCGGCTGCATAGAACCTGTCATACGCTTCATAAACTTGTCATTGGTATGCTTCTAGGCCCACTGTGGTTGAAAATGCAACGCCTGTTCCGTGGGACGTGTGGTGCCAGAGAAAACAAACACATCTCCTGGTTGCCAGGAGCCAAACAAAAAGAATATGAATGATGTTTATACTACTATTTTGTCTAGTGCCCAACCTAGAATCAACATGACAACAAAATAAACATTTCATTCACCCACCATCACTTGAAAACACCAAACGCTTTTGCCATGGCTTTTGGGCCTACTTTCTTCAGCACGCTTGTCCCCCCTGCCACCACTTTAGGACTTGCAATAGCAAACCCCTCAGATGGGCCCTCCTTGAAAGCGGACAGCTGTTGTCTCGGAAATGTTCACGTTATCGAATTCTGGCGGATTCTGCAGACCTTTAAGCTGCAATGTTGCTTACCTGCAAGTTTCTGTTGCACCACTGTGTAAACAAGAAAGTCGAGTCAGGCTGCCTTCCTCGTGGTCACCTACCAATCGGCCTTTTCATTGCCCGTTTGAGGCTTTAAGGTGGCCCGGAGCCCAGAGACTTCTCTTTTTAGACGGTTAATGCGTGCACAGAAATCCTTTCGAGGTTGAGCCAAACATCGAGAGACACATTGAAAAAACGAAATAAACAAACTCGGTAAATAGACAAACAACGAAAAGTCTCGGTGTTTTAGGCACTTTGGATTTCCAACTGGAAACTTTAAAGTTCGAATCAATGGACACGGTTCAAAATTAGAGGTGTTACACGGTGTAGACGTTTGCAGCCCCCCGGTTCAAAATTATGCAGCACAAGTAAACATATCGCACACTCATATTTCAAGTGTATATTGCATGCGTTCGATTCTGTTCTTTCATCTGTTTTTGCTTTGCTCAGGACCATGTGCGACGACCTGCTTGGGGCCCAAGCTCTCCAGCATAGCCCAAGGCGCATCTGTAGCCCTCATGGGTCCTTAAATAAACTCAATATAATTAGACAACATATTCCAGGGAAAATTCGGAAAAAGGACACAGAAAGCACAGAATACTGGCGTTTCTTCATGATCCACTCGATGGAAACAAAACATACTTAGCGTTTCGACTGTGCAACATCGAAACAAAAAAATCGTTCGTTCTCTTGTTCCTAGTAGAGCCCCTAGTAGCGTCCTTGCTCCTAGTAGTAAGGCCAGGAGCCCCTAGTCTTCTTATTCCTTTGTTCGTTGTCTTGTTCCGTTCGTCGTATCGCCAGTAGCGATGCCCTTTGTTCGTGTTCCGGTTGAATTTGGGCCGATGGCCGGAACAGTAGGAGTTCACTGATACGACAGTTAACGGTGTTAACTTTGGTTTGTGTGTATCACGCATAGTAGCTAGACTGTATCTCAAGAGACGAGTAGAAACCTTCAAAAGAACATGAATTTTTTTGGTATGTCCATTCAAAGTGCTTGACAAAATATGAGGCAGAAAAAGAATCCTAGGAAAGACTTGGAGCGACTTTCAAAAGGTTTGTGTTGCTTCTCACAAATCTGGGCCCCACACTTCTCCATGCCCTCGGGCAAAGGGTTGGGATCCACACAATCACCCAAGACCTCGAAACAAAACCCCCGAAATAAACGAAACTAAACGACGGAACGGCGGTGTGGCACACAGCAACCCAAAACAAAAACATCGTTCTCCTAAATTAATGTAAATATTGCAAGAGACGAGCGGGCCAAAAAAAAGAATGCAAGATACTGTTATTGCGGTTGCAAGGTACCAATGTCGAAGAATATGGATTTTGGCTGGAAAACACACTAGAGGAGAAGAGCACACTCTTTTGGTTCCAATAGGCACCGCTCCAAACAACACTCTCGCTCTCCCTGGGTCCGTGGCGCACATTGGCTTAATCCAATCGACAACACGGTCCCTCGCGAGAGCAAGCTCTAAGTTCCTAGACTTTGTTCTTGCTTGTGTTCTAGACCTTTTTTCCTTTTCTTCCTTCTTTTTGGTGAGAAAATCATTCTCCCAGTCCCCACGCAAAGGTCCGGCACTCTATGCACATACGGATACGGCAAAATGTAAGCAAGGTGGTGAATAAAATCAATAGTTGCATGTTGGCGCAGCCTCAAGCTCTTTTAGCAACAGCCTGTCGCACCGGGTATGTAATCGAAGATGCCTCTAATTGGCACGGGTTGAAACGTATTTGTGATGAAGTGCCTCACAAGCCGGAGCCAATTTGCTGGCAGCCTTCAATGTGGCCACCGTGGCATTGCTCATCTCGCTTTGCTGGTCGGGCTAAGGCGGTGGAGAAATCACGCGCGTCTTTCAACTGAACGCCACAATGTGTGAAGGTGTTGCGCGCTCCCAGGGCGACAGGGCGACCAACGGAAGCCCTGGTACGCACAGAAAGCGGTGACAGCTGGTCCCCGCCACGGGATCGCCCGCATACAAAACCAAAAGCGGTTTTCTCTCCCTTTCTCGAAGAAACAACCGCAGACAAGGATCTGTCATCGACAGAAAAAACCCGCTGCCGTATGGTGTCCAACAAATTCTAAAACCAAAATGCAACGTCTCTATTCAGGGGCCCCCATCCTCTAACGCTAACGAGTTGTATCATTGTCGAAGCTGCAGACAGTATCTTCTGAAGGTCTGCTGGGCCAGGTCCTCGTAGCCGACAAGCACAATTTGACGTTGGCTGCTCCAGCGTCCTGGTGTAGGTCAGGAAACACGTCGGGCCCGTCGGGCTGCTTAGCAACTTGGAACTCGGCATTCTGTTTCCGTTCCGCAGCGGCGCCATTGCACTTCGGCTCCCTTCTTTTTGCGCGCAAAGCAGTTCTTTCGGTTCTCTTCATTCGCCTGACATCCCAAGATATCTGAGCGATGCTGCAAGCCACGTTGCCAACTTGCCAAATGAAGCGGCCAGCAACTCATAATCTGTGTCAGCTGTAGTGTTTCCGCTGCTCCTTGAACAGTCATTGAACAGTGGTGAATCAAAAGCTCATGGACACGTCGCTCAGCGCTTCGCGACGCCATGGCATCCGGCTCATAGCCAGAGCTTTTGTACATGCGTCTTCCTGTCTCCTTGCATTCTTGATTACGTGGCTTCTACGTCTACCTCATTCACCGCGCATCATCTCAGTACTACTCTTTTTCGAGATCTTTGTTGGGACATCCTCTGGGTCCCTGGCACTCACCTCTTCAACATGTCCTTGGCCAGCAATTTCCCAAACCCGCCCATTTTTCTGGGAGCATCTCTGAATGCGGCCTTGAGAAACGCCAGCTTTGGTTGGAACCCAAAGCTGTCAGTGTGGGTTTCACTGGCAAGCACTCTTGCTGGCCAGTACCAGCGCCATAGCTTGAAAGGCATCTCTTGAGTTTGCAATTCAAAAGCTTGAAGAAAACAAGGTCACCTGTCCCGTGGCACAAAGACCGAGTCTTGGCATTGGACGCTGGCTTCGCATTATGCTTGAACCTGGAACTGCGAAAGCCCACCTCCAGTCCTCATAGCCCGAGTATTCTTCCATGCGTTCCGCAGCTTCCTTGACATCGTAGTCTCCACCTTTCAGGATCTGGCGGAGGTTGCTCTTCAGCGTTTGGATCGTTCTGTCAACTAAGCCCTTTTGCCCACGATCTTCCCCTGCACCGAATAAAAGCGCCACCCCTCTCTCACTAGCCGTCAAAGTCGCCCAAGCGTCTTGTTTGTCCCTTGGTTTCAGTCCAGCCCCAAGGCCAGAAGAGTCCTGGCGAAGTCGTCATCGCTCCAATGCGTCATCTCTTGCCCGTCTCGGGCCCAAAAGTGGCCAATGTGGCTTCAGTGGCTGTTCGCCCCACTCGGGTTGAAGTCTACAGGTCGACGGATAGGTTCGCTCAGACGGGCGGATTTGAGCGTTACCTTTCTTCCGTGCTCGACGGTATCCGCGAGACTCTTCAGACGCCATGTCCGGGCATCTTCTTGATCTTCGGGATCAAAATGGCTCTGAACTATCCAGACGCTCTCGGCGGTTGTCGCGCTTCTTGGACTCCTCCGGGAACGTCGCCATTGGGCCCCGACCGACGTTTCGAGAATGCCGAAGAGTCCGACTACTTTGAACTGGTCTGTGAGTCCGCCCCAATCTGGCAAGGAAATATTGCAATTTGCGTCTCCCTACTGAACCAAAAAGCACATGTGCAATCTGAACACAATTGCAAAATGTTAGAACCAAATTCCTTATACTTATTTGAAGGTTTTTCCATACTGTCTGAAAGTCACCAAGTCACCTAGCAGAAGGTTTTGGCATTCCCAAAAAATGTCTTGGGGTGCTTGGTTTGACGTGTGGTGCTTGTTGACAATTATGTGAGTAGCCTGTATAAATCACGAGAGTATCAGAGTCGATATGTCGGAGTCTGTGTGTCTCTTGTGTTTCGCTCGTCTTCTGACCTCTCGGTGTTCATGTCTGGGCAGGATGCACCGCCGAAACCACCAGCTTCTCTCAGTGGCCTCGGGGCGGGAAGAGTCAAGCAAGCGTCACTTCCGTCACTTGTTTCTTTCGAACATGACGGCACTTGCTGAGGGTGGAGCCATAAACAAGAGACCTGCGAGAGCATGTCGGTTACTTAAGACGTCTCATCTGATTGCGCAATGCCTTACACGTGCCACCAACTTCCACGCCGTGGCAGTCGGACACATCGTACCTGGAAGCCCAACGAATCTGGTTTGCTTGGCAAGAAAATATCAAGATCAGACACGGCACATGCAATACTCTGGAATGAAGTCCTCTGCATCAGGCACCTCAGGACAGAACCAAGCTAGAAAAGTGGAATTGAAACATAGAACACACCCCGTCACCGCTATGCGGCGCTCTGCGGCTGTGCGCCAAGAAAAGGAACATAGTCCTCCAGATATGCGACACAAGGCGTAATGCCCGTCCACCCAAAAGTGGCAGAGGAGGAAACAGCTTGAAAGCTGGCGCAAACAAAATCATGCAAAGCCAGCTTGAAAGGAGGAGCAAGGACGCTACTAGGGGCTCCTGGCCTTACTACTAGGAGCAAGAAGCTACTAGGAGCAAAGGGCATCGCTACTAGGAGCAAGAAGCTACTAGTGGCGAAGTGGTGAGTCAATGATGTGGTCACGTGTGGTGGAGCGGGTTCTCACTGCTTTCCGCAAGTGCTTAACTCTGCGTGGCTTGTCGTTGCATTCTGACAAGTTGTAAAACACCAGTGTCGAAGTGGTGCTGTGTCACGTTTCATGACGGATTGCCTGTGTCGAAGTGTACTTTGGTCATGCGCTACGTTACTAGCTCCTTTGCCTTTGCGGGCGTTCTTATAAGTCTTGATGCGACGCATGTGATTTCAACATGGCATGAAAGCGGACAGCACGTCAGCATGACAGCATGTTTGCAAAGTCACCGAGTGGCAACACGGGTCCGATGTCGCGCGCAACATGCTGTCGGTAGCCTGACGACCATGTCAGGATGACGGAGCGCCAGCACAGCATTTCAGCGCTACGGAGAATGTGAGGTACAACGGCATCTCAGCAGTGAAGAAACTTCGTCCGGAATCTGCTGACCCCTGAGCTTCACCATCCCGTGCCGATGCGGAGTTTCGTCTGTCAGATCTGCGGTTGCACCTTGTCAAGTTGGAAACGAGAAGGAAAGTTACTTTACCTCGTGTGGCACCAGTCCGAACCAACAGAAGTACAGGCTAAACGGGGAAGTCCCTTCAAATACTGGGAAACGCTGTCGTTTTCCGAGGGAAGGGGTCTTGGAAGTCTCTTACCATGTTTTGGGAAGTCTTGGGGCCAGGAACATCCCACAAACTGGGCCGCAAGACCCATGGCACCACAGCTCCAGGATTGACAGCAGCAAACTCTGCTTCAGCCGCTGGAACTTCAGCCTCTAACTCGACTGCGAAGAGGAGTAGCGTCATGCGAACATGGCCATTCGGTTCGGCGGTTCGAACCTGGAAGGGACTTTCTGTGTAGTTCAAGGCCATTGTCTCTCGAGATACGGTCGGCATAATACCTCGAAAGAATGAAAGCAAGAACGAAAAAACAAGACAAAATGCCAAAAACAATTTAAAATGAACTCGTTTAAATCTATGAACTTTAACTAAATTTATGTCTCTTGTTTGCGTTCGACACTCGGTTTCCCAGCATCCTTTGATCTCATCGCAGCCAAAGAGTTGCACCGAATCGAAGCATTCATCGTTCTTCCTGTCGAACAGAAGAATCTTCAAAAGAATCGGTTTCATGGCTTTCCATTCAGTGGACGCTACTAGGAGCAAAGGGCATCGCTACTAGGAACAAGGACGCTACTAGGGGCTCCTGGCCTCGCTACTAGGAGCAACATTCCCATTCTGAACAGATTGAGTCATCCCCACTGTGTGTCCTGCACTCAAGATGCGCCGCTCCTAGGTAGCCATCGGCACATTGGAAAGGCCCTGCCACATCCTTGATGTCAAATCTGCAAAATGAAACACGTTTTTTGGACATTAGCCTGTTTATGAGCCTTTAGTAGCGTCCTTTTGTTCATAGTAGCAAGGAGCGCCCCTAGTAGCGTCCGATCGCTCCTACCTCCCCAAGGTCCTAGTAGCTTCTTGTTTCAATTCAAATTGAATTCTAGTTAAAGCAAAATTAATGTTGATTCTAATTCCATTGAATTCTTATTTCTAATAGCTTCTTGTTCCTAGTAGTACGGCCAGGAGCCCCTAGTGGCGTCCTTGTTCCTAGTAGCGATGCTCTTTGCTCCTAGTAGCTTCTTGCTCCTAGTAGTACGGCCAGGAGCCCCTAGTAGCGTCCTTGTTCCTAGTACCGATGCTCTTTGCTCCTAGTAGCTTCTTGCTCCTAGTAGTACGGCCAGGAGCCCCAGTAGCGTCCTTGTTCCT